CTTTGCCTCCCTCTGTACTTTCTTATATCATTACTGTCATAATGCGTCTACGGAGCATGCACACGTGACACCTCGGTATTTGCATATGCATGAGTACAAATGTAGCAGAGTATACCCATGAGTAGCATCAGCTGCTGTCCGAATATATGCTTGCAGAGGTTCTGTATCAAAAAGTGTGGGATTCACATCTGCTGCAGGAAGCTGTGCTAATCCTGTGATACGGTGGTATCTCACCCCTTCCAGGCATGAGTGTCTGTGTTGGACCGGATCAACATATCTCAGCCAGGCCAAGATAGCTGCTGCTACTGCCACTAATGACTGGTTGTTGTCTCATGAGATCTGGACAAACACACTCTCCCTTCTTTGTTTGCGTCACTCCTTGAAGGTTTTTATGTACTCATTGTGATATTATTACATAAAGAGTTTACATAAAGAATTGAATTATCTCATGTTAAAATTTACATATTATACGTCCTTCATCTTTTCAATCTGGGTTTATTGAGGCAGATAACTTTAAAAAAATCTGCTTGTTAAATGGTTCGTTAGTCAGTCTCTTATAATATCTGTATAAACAGATAATATATAAATGTACTAATTGTCATTTTGTGCTGATGACAATGTCTTATACTGTGCTGGCAATAGGCCTGTCGCGATAAACAATAAATCAATTAATCGCATGATAAATGAAAATTATCAACTTCATTTTCATTTATCAGCTTTATTGTTTCTTTGTGTCTCTCTCTTTCTACTGAAGACACTGGATGATGAGGCTCAACTCGGTGCTCTTCACTGACCCATCCCTTTCTCTTTTCTATTTAAAATCTGTTTTAACCATCCAAAATTGCATTTTTTGGATGGTTAAAAGCAGCTAAGCTGAGAAGCTAAGCTACGAGCTAAGCTAACATGCCGACCTTAGGAAAAAATCTCTGTCTTGTCAAAGATCCAAAAATTAACAGTTGAAACCTGTGCCTTAATGTAAAAAGTTGTTTTTCTCTGCAAAAAGAAGCTGAGAACTTATTTACTGATTTTTTTTAATTAAAAACTTTGTGTGACAAATGCTATGCTAAAGAGCTCAAACCAAACCAAGCGTCCGCCATTTTGAGAACCGAAAAACAGGAATGAGAGAAAGCCCATGTCATGTCAAGGGGCCTCCCTCTCATTTTTCTTAAAGAGAAACGCTGCTCGCTCCCTCACTATCCATCCTTTATCCTTTGGTTCAAACAGTCTTATACTGCCATCCAGTGGTCAAAAAAGGTACTACACCCAAAAATTAACCAACGTTTTTTCTTAAATTTGACAATGATTAACAATTATTGTCAAATTTGAAACAATATTATTGTTTATTGCAATAATTACTGAGAAAATCGTCCATCAAAATTTGTTATCGTGACAGGCAACACAGTACAAAGTGCATTTGAACAGCTACAATAACTTTCAGTGTGGTTTAGTCCAATCTAAGTGACCTGAAACTTGTATTAAATGCTCATAAATAAAAAATAATGCTGTTTTCTAAGACTAAACCAAAGTTTAAACTACACATGTTGCTGCCCATTATAACTTTTCAAGGCTCTCTGCATATCACAGTATAAATACTTGAGATTTATTATTGATGAGGCCTCATCAATGTTAATGTTGGGTTTTTATTTTAGATTTGTCTATCTTCAGACTATGGGGACATGATTTATATGCATTTATCCTCTCACTGGTTGCACATGTAGGACTCTGTAAATCATGGGGCATTACAACAAAGTCCATGCTCAATAATCCAGGTATACAATCCAACATTTTTCAGTCAGGTCATCTGGACAGTTTCTTTTTTTGTGCTGAAACGTTTCACCTTCGATCCGGAAGGCTGGGGCATGGGGCATTACGTTTTATCCCTTGTCTTGGAGTCCTTATCCACCACTGTGTTCTGTATACCTGTGTTGGATGGACTGCCTTATCCACCCACAGATTTTATCACTGGCATAATCTTAATTACAAAGCAATCTTGGGTTTACTTCCCTCTTAACTTCTGTCCTATATTGTTAAGAAATCCTTGGGAGATTACTCTCAGTTTGCTGCTTCCCCAGACTGGAATCAACTGCAAAAAGACTTCTAGTTGAAGAAGTTGGTCTCTTGTAATATTGTTAAGGCCATTCTCAAACAATTTGTCAATGAGGCATCTGTAAACGTTTGAAATTATATTGATAGTCAACAGATCCCAGGAGAAACCTCATTGGTCTCTGACTAGAAAAGCATAGTCCTAGGAACAGCTAAGATAGAAAATACTCAAACTTCCAGGCCTTTCGTAGATGATTCTGAGTCTGAAATGAAGTGGAACTGCCCAAGTGGAAGAGCAGTGCAAGCTACAAGTTATATAATGTTTGCAAGTAAGGAGACTCTAAGGTTGTAGATCATTTACAGCAAAGTAGGATTTATCAATCAGCAACGTCACTGTGAAAGTAAAAATGCAAGCCATATTGTACTATTTGTGTAATTTCAATGGCAAATAGCATTCTACACACTGTGTCAAAGAAAACAAAGAATAGGTTTAATAAGTTTCAAATCTGAACTTCAGGTAATTATTTTAAGTAAACAGGATGGAAAAACAAACAAAACAAAATCGGCGAGTTTGTAACTTACTGTAATTCAAATGAAAATGGAAAACATAACTACCAGTAAATGAAATCTAATAAATACATACAATGTTAAAGACCTAGCTTCTCAGCTAAGCGAGATATTGTGGGCTGTTCTTCCAAATGTAGTGTTTATTAAAAGCCCGACGATGCACAGTATTTAACTGCATGCATTAATGGGATCTTTCAAACTGAACAAATTATGGCCCTTTTGACCTCCATACATTCATATTTCACTTCACTATTCTCACCCTTTATCATAAGAATGTGACACTGTGTCACTGCTGGTTTGAAACAAACAAACAAACAGTTCTTTGAGCTCTTTTGTTGCAGCTAAAATAATCGTTCTTGGGTGGCCTTGGCATGGGGTGCATTAGATGCTGTCTTTATCTACTTCTCCTTCAACGTGACTGTTAGCAAAAAGCAATAAAACGAAAAGAGGGTCCATTTCCAGATGAGAGAGGTGATTCCTGGTGATTAATGTGATCTTCATCTGGTTGAGGACATTTGACTGCTCACTACAAATATACTGTATGTGCATTATGCTTCTAGTGGTTAGACAGAAAAAGCTCCTTTCAAAAAGAAAAGAAATGCTTGGAGCTGCAAGACTAGCACTACAAATACTGTGGCGCAGGTAAAACTGATAGGTCCAATGGCTAAAACACGAGCAATCATTTATGTTTTTTAAGCCAAAAACAAATAAACCAAATAACTTCATAGGTTGGATGTCTTCATTCTAAAGACTGGCCAGCTGAACCCTGATCCTCTGACCTCTAGATATGGGTGGTAAATGTTGAAATGATGTGTGGGACTGGAATTTAGATGCTTTATCAAAGAATTCAATGTGATTAACTGTACTGTAACAGGGTTGAGATTATGACTAGTCCTGGCTGAGTGAGATAGAGCATGACGTATGTCCCTCTTAATAATAGAAGCATCTTGATAGTGGCTCAATCAAGCTCAGTCTGGTCTCTTGTCTCTCTGCAGGGATCTGGAATGGTCTGATGTTACTGCTGCCACCGCCTGATACTGCACAGCTCATTTATATTTCAGAGGGCCTCTGCTGAGAGGGTGTGTGGAAGAAAAAAGCATGAAGTGAGATGGAGAATGTTACTAGACAAGTGTTGCTTTAATTTTGCACTCTAGCTTTGGGTACCGGCTGGTGAAGTGAAATCTATTTAGTCATGTGTGAAACTTTTATGAGAGCAGGTTGGACTCTGGATGGATATCCTAAACTCACCACCGGCATGTTTGGCACCATCACAGACTGCCAGAACAATTATGCCCCATATATGATTTATGTGTCAAACTAACTTTTTTTTTAATGGAATTTGATACAGAACTTTGGAATAAACTGCAAAGAAAACTTTTCTTTTTGATGGTTTCGGGCAGAAAGCACCAAGAAATGAGGCCATCAACAAGAGAAATGTTTCAATTCCACATGGAGTTTAGGTTTCGCTGCAGAGTGACTCCTGCCTAACTAAATAAATAATATGTGTCGGGTCTAAGAGGAAAACTCACACTCTGGAAGGAATCCCTGCCACTGCAGTTATGAGTTACACCCAAAGGTATTTAGGAAAGGAAAGGGCTTTCAGGTCGACTAATGCCTGAGAAGATGTTGAAAGTTATTACACTGAGGAGAGGAACCTTGGTTTGACCTTTAAAGAGCCACATTTTGACACCCCCACCCCGGCACTAATGTGGGTCAATGTCAGCTGCATGTTTATCCATCCCATCATGCAGCTTGCACAGAATATAACAAATCAGACATCGCTTTAAAGGTAGCTAAAGCAATTATATTTTGGAAGAATTGCACTGTTAAATCATGTCAGAAGCTGAAACAGTTGTTCAATCTAAAAACGCAGAACACAGGCTAAACGCTAAAAGGAACAAAACGCTAAATTAAAGCTGAAAACAGAAAATACTTACTAAAAGCCTAATGTAGGAAAATACTGGCTAAAAGATAAAAGTAACAAAAGGTTAGTTAACGAAACACACCCAAGCTAAAAGTATTAACAAGCTAAAAGTAGAAGACAAAATGCAGTGAGTGTGCTGAAGCAAATTTTATAGAGAATAGTGTTTTTGAGGGAATTGAAAAGATTTCAATGTATTTATATGAGGAAAATATCTTTAATTAAAATTAAATCTTCCGTAAAGTACACAAGTTACTGAAACTAAAAGCTAAAGTACCCATCTACAGAAAGAGCTAAATGTTTTAAATAATAATGGCAAAAAATAGCACAAAATTTGCTGTAATAAGATTGTAAAAATAATTGTTAAAAAAAGAAAAGCACAACTGTGGATTCTGAAGCAGCCTTCGCACAATTAAATAAAAACAAAAAAACAGTATTTTCACGCTGCTGCTGAGTGGATGTTAAATACCTTAAATGGAAGGAAGAGGGAGTTGACAGCTGCTAGAAGAGCCGCGGTGTCTGAAGCATCCCTCTGGCCACAGATCACAACCTAAAGGTACAAAGAGGAGAGGAATAAAAGTTGGAGTACAAGGAAATAAAGAAAGAAAACTAGCAAGAAGAAAGTATATGAATAGAGTGAAATAAAAGGGTGAAAGGTGACACAAAATAAAAGGAGAGACGGAAAGTCATACAAGTCAGTGCAGTGTACCAGCGACCAGAGGGGCAGGTGTTTCCTGTGAGGTTGACTCAGTCTTTGCTTGTTACCCGTGCCCGACTGACCCCAGTCGTCCTCTGCAGGTCAGACATAACATACAGACTGTCAACAACTCTCTGACAGCACCCAGCTATTCCTTTCACTGCTTTTTTGACTGTACGACACATTCTTCAGTTTGCAAACTTCTGGTAATTAAAAAACTTTGTTTTGCTGGAATGCTGGATTCAGTGGTTTCAGGCTAAATTAAACGTGTTAATATTTCAGCACTGATTATATAACAGAGGCTGAAATGCCCACGTAACCCATTAAATGTACAGGGACAGAGAAAAACTGGGAAAATGATTTTTTTACTCTGCGTCCAGGGAATAAATAAGCATCTACAGTAAGTAGAGTGTTGTTGCACTGGTACTTATTGTACTAAAGCTGACCGAGGAGGGAACGTGAATACGAAGACTTTAAAATCACATGCACAGTTAGCTTGTACATTTCACCTCAAGGACCAGTTCCACAAGTGTCTTTTATATGCGTGTTTACTTGGGTTCTGTTACATTTTAAGAGATTTTCTGGGATAATTTCGTAACTTAAAGTCTTATGGGGAGCAAAGCCTGGTCCCAGTACTGTGAATTGTCTCTTTCTGGGCTAAGGGTTAAATTTAGGGCTGAAGTATAAATTGAGTTCAAGGATTAGGATTATTTGTTGAAGATTGAGGTTTGGATTCAGCTGTGAACAGGAGTCAATATCAATGTTCTAATACACAAATCTGAGTGTTACTTTTTCAGGAAAAAATTAAATCATGCCATGTAGACTAAGAAAAATCACTGCAAGTGCAGAAGGCAGTTTTGAATCTGTAGATGTGGTGCATTTCAACCAGGGCTTAATTTGAGCTAGATCCTGCAGGAACAGGATCTGGGAAATCTTTATTTTGACAGGGTGTGTCCTGGGAACTGTTTGCTTGGATCCGCGAACTCTCAGGCTTACTAATATTAAAGTTATGAACAAATTTGATTGCCTTGAACAAATTAAACCTACCGTATTTTCTGGACTATAAGTCACACTTTGGCCAGTCCTGCGGCGTATATTTCGAAGCAACTTATATACTTTTTTCCCCAATATGACACAATTTTTGACTGATGCGTTAAATGTTCATTCATTCATTCATTCAACCTTTATTTAAACAGATAAATCACATTGAGCCTCGATGGCTCATTTACAAGTGAGACCTGTTCGGACAGACAAAAACAGCGGTTAACTAGACACATGTAGGAGTTGGAGGCGAAAAAATTCCTATCAGACTTTTTGTTTTCTTGTCTGAGAAAAAAACCTCTAATATTAAAAAACACCTCATACAAACAGCACATAGTGACATAGACAATCTGCAGACGGAAGAGACGAGAGCAGTCAGCAATGTTTATAGATGCTCTCGAGGTCATTGTAAGAGTTCTGATAGGATATAATAATCAGTCAATGTCCTCCGGTGAGATCCATAAACATTCTCGAGGGATGTCGAGGAATAGCCAAGAATAACGTCTATGAGAATCCAAGAGTCCTGAAATGATGACACAAAGTTTATTCAGCTGGTTTATATGGTTATCAGTTGGAAATTCCTCATGGAGGGGGTGGTGAGCGCCAGATCACATTTTCTCCAGGCAAATTCAGATAATATGGCCTTCAAGGACAGCCAAGGGAGCCAAATTCAGATAAACACAGTTGTTTTGGGGACAGGCAGAACTTAATGACATCTACCTTGCGTCTGTGTTGGTCCACTCGGTTCTGAAATGTCCAGAGTACATGGCCACACCGATGGAACGTGACTGAGTAAAATCCCCAAGATCTGATTCATTCAGCCCAAAGCATTTGAGTCCGGGTACTCGAGACATGAACCAAGCCATCATAAAGGCAAGCAGCGTGATCAGGTCCAAATTTGCTGCAGATGACTTCCTTGATTGTAGATAAAACCAGCAACCAGTCAAATCCAAAAAAGCAGGAACCAGTTATCGAAAATCCAATTACATTTGTGTCCTTAAAATCCACAGATGGCAGCAGAGACACATCATCAAGTCTTCCAGTCGATGAGATACCCAGCTGCGTGCGTGCCAACAGGGCAAATCGGCTCGCCTAAAGTCTGTCTTCTCTTCGAAGAAATGTTGTAAATTGAGTTGAGGGACCAACTGATCAAAACAGTCCATAATTATGGTTCGGAAGAAATGCAAGAGAGTCTCATATGCAGCCACAAGACGGCCCTCTAAACATTTGACAACTATATGGTGTTCCTCTTCTACTAACCCCCCCCCCCCCCCCCCAATCTTCCTCCAGAGTTGGTGGAGTTGTTCAGAAGTGACACTGAGGATGAAGAATTCAATGGATTCAGTGAGGTGGAATGAGATTGGTGAATTTACCGGTAGCTTGCTTGTCGGACTCATTGGCTAGTTATGTTAATAAAACCAGATCAGGATCCCTGGTATGTTCTGTGTGTTATTGTTATTTCAGATTAAATGTCACTTCGTGAAAACCATGCCTAAATAAATGTGACTTATACTCCGAAGCAACTTATATATGTTTTTTATCCCTCTTCGTGAGGCATTTAATGACTGATGCGACCCATACTTCAGAGTAGAGAATGACATTTTTTTGGGAGTACCGCAGGTCACGTGATTCCGGTGGGATTCCGGCGGGACCGGAGTCAACCTCATTATAACTCACGTGACCGAGACATGACCGGACTGAAAGCTAACGGGAGCAGACAGGAGCGGGAACCGACCAATAACCAAAAATGAAAACAAAAAATAAATAAAAATAGCAGGCACATCTTTTTTGTAGTTTTCTTTAAATAAGCCTTCACTTTAACACAAGTCAAAAGAACTACATTGCCCAGAAGTCAACTGTTCCAGCCGTAGCTTTTCACCGAGCAGCGAAGTCTCCAGTAAAGAAACCGAGTACTGAAAATAGTTTGCAACGCAAGGTAAGAAGTAACCGTCTGTCTATTAAACTCACAGAACGGGCAGGAAAGTGTCAAATAACCTGAACTTCACGAGAGTTGTGTTGGTGCTGTGCTGGTTTAAACTTTAATCTCAGCTGCAGTGAGGAGCTGCGGGGAGTCGGACTTTGTTTACCGTCAGTAAATAAACAAACTCAAACAGCGCATTTTTCTCAACCTTGTCCCTTTTAATTTAAAAATGATGCTCTGCTTTGTTATGTGGGTTTTTATGTTAAAATCTTCATTATCTGTCGTTGTTTGTAATGTAAAAAAAACAAAAACAAACCCTTCCTGGTTAAAGTGCACGCATTCTCCGGTAAAAATATTCCTATTTTTATATATGTGACGTCCTGCTGGATACTGAAATCGAGGAAAACGTGAATAACCATCACTTTATTGCGTAAATATTTACTGTCGACCGCAAGCCAAGCCTGTACAACAACAAACTTGTTAGTGAAAGCATTCTCCGGTTGAAAGTATCCCAGTTTTTATATGAAAGGCTGGTTGCATATATATTATAATAATTGTTTTAGTTTTAGATTTAAGATATGTGTACAGGTATGGTATTGTGTTAAATTTTAGGCCAAGAGTTGATTTTTCTCAGTTCATTTTTTCACACCAGGGGCGATTCTAGAAGCCCTTTTTAGGGGCCTTAGCCCCCCAGTGTTGACAATGGCTCTTGGCTTGAACAGCACAGTGGGTATTAGCATTAGAATTATTGTAGGGGGGACATTTTGGTGCGAGGTCTGTTGGTCCTCCCCCATAACTTTTTGAATAAAGTAGCTGCTATTTCCTGCATTCCGGTGTATTTTAACAGGTTTAAAAACATATATGTTTACCTACATAAGTAAATCATTGATTCAATAACTGTTTTAGAAAGCATGGCACAAGAAGTAGCACTAAGCTTTTTGTTTGTCTTTAATTTAATTTAATTTTTCTACCTAACACAGGAAGCTGTTAGCTCTGGAAGCAAGCTGTTAAACAGCTTTGGACACGAAGACCCTTGTCACACACTTCAACAGAGCAGGTAAGATACATAAAATCTTGTAATCTCTGCCTGGTGAGGCTGATTAAATAATTATTAAATATGATAAGTGAAATAAAGAAAAATTGAGCTACTGTGATTTATAATTGCAAATGTCACCTTTTCTTGACTTAATTTCAATTGTAAATCTCTTGTTTTTGATTACAAAAAAAATTTCCAAAAGAAAGGCCAACAAATTGTAATTTGTAGACACTGTAAACCTATTTTGACTCGTGCACTGTCGTCTTTCACATTTAGGTTACACGAGGCTCTGGACCGGTCACTGAAGCTGTGGAGAGATGAGGTGGAACACCAGACCTGCAATGATCCAGTGTGTAAATGATGCTCTGAAGTCTGGGAAGATGCACGACATCATGCTTCACCCAAACGAGCTCGTTACCTCGACCACATAGACTGAACTTCTTGAGGACGTCGTCCAATGTATAATAATGCCTTTAAGCATTTTTATTTGTTGGGTTCTCTTGTTTGCTACATGATTTTTCCTTTGTTTGTTTGTTTGTTTAAACAATTTAAAACATGACAGTAATGTCACTGTTTAAAGGAAACAATTGCTCAATAAATTTGTAAAATGCAACTTGTTATGTTTGAGTTGTTTCAACTAAGGTAGACATGGTGTGACCCATGTACTGGTTATAATTTTTAGTTTTTACTGTAACTGACCTTCAAAGATCTAGAAACAGGGACTCAGCAGCTGATCCTCCGTAGAAAAATTATATGGACTACAGACCATGTATTATTTGTTTTGTGCCCTTTAGTGAAGGTTTTTGTTTGGATTAAGGAAAGAAATGTCTCTATTTCACCACAGATGAACTGTTGCTGTTGCCATATCTTTTGAGATAAAACTGCAGAACACAAAGTAATTTAAATAGGAATGGGTAGAAGATCAAATAAAATTCAATGTATTTCCTAAAAATTAAAGGAAGAGAAAAAAACAGGAGCAGGAGTCATGTTACCAGGAGTGGGACCAGGACAGGACAGGAGTGAAAATCCACTCCCACGTCATCCTCTACTTCAGAGCGACATATAATCCGGAAAATATGTAATCTGAAAATATTTACATAAACACTCATTTTTAACATAAGAGCCACTTACAAGCTTCTTACTATAAGAGCTGTCCCTTCAAGTAAGCATTTCTGCTTCTACCCTTAAAAAAATATCCACCCCTTAAAGTTCAGTCACGGGCAATTTAATTAAAAACACAAAAATATAGTTAAACAGCGCAACTAAATTGAAAATCAGTTTTACAGTTTAAGTTGGTCATTAATTCAATTTTGAATGACCAAATATACGAGAGAAATGTTTGATGTGAAATCATGTGATATACATCACGTTTCAAAACAACGGTGCCAATTCGTCAAAATAACAGCGATCTAAATGTCAAAAAGATGGGGGGCGGGGGCGTTAGAATGCATGAGAGAAGTGGAGCGTGCTCTATTCACACAAGGAGAGCTGTTGGTCAGGCTACTTCTTGTTGCGCTCAAAATTAACTGTTAAATCAAGTGTTTATAACGTATGTAAACTTAGATGTTTAACAACCAATTAAAATACACCTGAATGCTGGAATTGGCATCTATGTCATACAAAATTTTATGTGGAAGGACCTACATGACCCCCCCCCCCCCCCCCACACACACACACACACACACACACTATTTGCATTCCGGCATCTTTTGGTTTACAAGTTAAGCAATGACAAATAAAGCAATGACAAATTAAGCAACAATTTCTGTTAAATATTTCAATAAGAAATATAGAGTTGACTATTCCTGGCAGTCTTAACTCATCATTGTATTATTTAATGTGTCAAAGACATGAAATAAAAGAATGTCCAGCGTTTTATAATTGTAACACCTGCAGTAATTGCTGTCTCATTAAAACCAATGTACACATTTTCTGGAATCTTCAAACCTAACAAGGTATTCTTTCAACCACAAAATTTGAGCAGAATGCAGCTTTTCCTGACGTTTAACAGCATTATCTTTGAAAGTGATCGGCTGTTGTCAAGAGAGTCAACTTTTTTCCTTCAAACAGAAAAACGTTGGGATATTTTCCTCCTGAAGACACGGTGGTAGCTGAGCATGCAGCACATGGTCAGACAACACACACATCGTGTGAGCTGAATCTGTGAGGAGTTGATATTGGTCAAATGTCAAATTTAAGCATTTTTCAAACGGTTTCAACAAGATTTTACATTTTTTATCCATCTTTCCATCCATCCATCCATCCATCATCTTCCGATTGTTCCGAAGTCGAGTCTTGGTGGCAGCAGCGTGAGCAGGGTTGCCCAGACATCTCTTTCCACAGCCACCTCTTCCAGCTCTTCTGGGAGGACTTCAAGGCATTAACAGGCCAACCGAGAGACATAGTCTCTGCAGCATGTCCTTGGTCTTTCTAGGGGTCTCCTCCCAGTCAGACATGCCAGAAGCACCTCCCTAGGGAGGTGCCCAGGAAGCATCCTTACCAGATGCCTGAACCACCTCAACTGGCTCCTCTTGATGTGGAGGAGCAGCGGTTCTACTCCGAGTTTCTCCTGATAACTGAACTTCTCACCCTATCTCTAAGGGAGAGTCCAGCTACCCTGCAGAGAAAACTAATTTCAACCACCTGTATCCATGATCTTATTCAGTCACTACCCAGAGTTCATGATCATAGGTGAGGGTAGGAATGTAGACCGACTGGTAAACAGAGATCTTCTATTTACAGCACAGCTTGCTCTTCACCACAACGGACTGGCACAGAGTCCACAATACTGCAGACGCTGCACTAATCCATCTGTCAATCTCACGCTCCATTCTTCCCCCACTGGGAACAAAACCCAGAGATACTTGAATCCTCCACTTGAAGCAGAACCTCACCCTCGACCCCGAAGAGATAAATTCATCCTTTTCTGGTTGAGGACCATGACCTCAGATTTGGAGGAGCTGATTCTCATCCCAGCCGCTTCACACTCAGCTGCGAACCGCTCCAGTAAGAGCTGAAGATCACGGCACGGTGACATCATCAGGACCACATCATCTGCAAAGAGCAGAGATGGAATCCTGAGGCCAGCGAACTGGACTCCCTCCAGCTCCTTGCTGCACCGAGAAATTCTGTCCATAAAAGTTTTGATCAGAATTTTCATTCATTCAACCTTTATTTAGACGGGTAAATCCCACTGAGCCTCGACTCTTTTACAAGAGAGACCTGATTTCAACAAAGAATGATGAAAACAATGGACAACAGCAACAACAATAGACGGTTATAAAAAGGCATACAGATTTTTTTTTTTTACAAATAAGATGGCAAAAAAAATAACAAAAACAGCTAGATTATAAGGCGAATGTAGAAAACTAAAAACAGGAACATGTCTGCGTTGGTCCTTGCCAGGAGTCCAACAGATTCTTAAAGCCACTGAGAGAGGTCAAGGTCGAGAGCTTCAGGTCTTTTTGTAAGATATTCCAGAAAACAGGAGCGGAGTAGAAGGCCCTCTTGCTTAGTTCAGTCCGCACTGAGGGAACACTGCAGGTAATAATGTCCTGAGAGCGCACGCTGTAGCTGCACTCACGCAGAGACATGTAGGAGGAGATATATGAAGGCAGCAGACCAAGAAGTGATTTAAAGAATCTGTGAATCTGTGTTGTAGTTTTTTCATCCCAAAATTTAGCTGTTCAAAACTTTTGTATTTTTCTGTGCTGTTACTGAACAGAAATATTCCAGCAGAAACAAAATGTGCACATTCATTGTTTAAACAGTTTAATTTAATTTAATAATTTTATTTAATCAGGTCTCTCTTGTAAATGAGTCCTCGAGGCTCAATGGGATTAAGCTGTCTAAATAAAGGTTGAATGAATGAAAAACAGCTTCTTATTCATCCTTGTTTTGTTTTGTTCCGTTTCTGTGAATCAGTAAAAGCTATGTAGGTCTGTTGTGCTCACGGCATTTGTCATGCCAGCAGAAGTGTCTGCTGGTTTCAGTAGCTGGACATGGAAATGAGTTTCAGCAGACTCTCAGGTAAACAAACCCGCTCCCTGAGCTGAGCTGTCGTTTAGACCTCACGACAGACAAGATTAAAAACAGATGTTTCTGCTACAGTAGAGAGGTCTGCTATGACAATGAAGTACAGCTAAAACAGGGAAATAGATCCACCACAAGCTTTTGTTATAATACAATGAACAGAATTAATATTTTTATGCAGCCGTTAGTTGTGTGCAGCAGCTTCATTACTTGTTGGAGTGTGTGGTGTTGAGCCATGAGAGCCCGGACCATCTCAGGCAGGGCTATGGGAACCCTGGTCAGCCGGTCAGAAAACGCTGTCAGCAGCTGCTGGGACTTCTGCAGCCACTCCTGTTTTCCAGTGTAGCTGGACAAACGCAGAAGATTGAAAGCTGACACAGAGTTAGCACTGGGCTCAGCGCCATCTTGATCTGTCGAAGAAAAAGAAACATGAAAGGTGTGAATGTTTATGAAGCATTCACTGTATTGTGATCCATTTTTCTTTGATATGTTTTTCAGCATCTTTCTCGTGCCATAGTTTTCCAGCTATTTCAACAAATCATAAATCAAAACGTTCAACTCTTTCAGGACGATCCTACCATGACTTTTGGTATTGGTGCAGCTTTACCTTTTTTTTTTTTAACTATTTAGCCTTTTCTGCCATTTTTTCCTAATAGAAAAGGAATTGAGCTCATTTTACATCCTTCAAATCTTTAGATCTGTTTACAATCTTTTACTTCTCCTTTCATATTTTGTTCTGCTTCAGCTTCTTTCAGCTTCCTTCTGCAAATTTAAACTTTTCTGCTACTTTCAGCTACTTTCAGCTACTTTCAGCTCTTTTGTGCTCATTTTAGATTCTTTCTGCTAACTACAATATTTTTGTGCTTTTTCTAACTTATTTCTGCTAATTTCAGCTTGTTGTGCTCCTATCAGCTTATTTATGCAAGTTTTAGCTTTTTCTGCTATTTATTGCTATTATTACTATTTAGCAGTTTTTATGCTAGTTAATCTTTTTAGCTAATTCCACATTTTTTTCACTCATTTAAACTTTTTTCAGCCTAATTCAGCAAAAATGTACTCTCTCCACTTCCTTCTGCTAATTCAAGCTTCTTTTTGCTTTTTTTTAGCTAGTATTCAACTGTTTTTTTTGCACATTTCTGCATTTAAAAAATTCCACTTTTTTGTGCTCATTTCAACTTCTTTCAGCCTAATTGGCCACAGTTGTGGTCTCTCCACTTCCTTCTGGTAATTTAAGCTGTTTTTCAGCAAGTTTTTCAGCAGTAAGCATTCACACTGCATTTTTGCAGGAAATGCATTTTTTAAAGTTCATTGTTAAAATCAATCATCTTTCAACAAATGATAAATAATAAAGACATATAAAAACCCTTAGAAGACATATTTGACGTGAAAAAAGTGAAATATATTGATATACAGTCATGCAAAGTCTTGCTTATTATACATGTTGCTTATAAAAACAGACTTTAGTATTTTAACGTGGTCTGGATCAATATACTGTATACTAATCCATCCAGAGGACCTGACTTAACCTTGTTAGATTTATATATCTGGATTATTGAGCAGCATCAGGATATTTTCTTGATCAATAGTTTGTCAGGCTTTTGAAGCTCTTTAGACTCACTAGTTTTTCAGATTTCTTGTTAGGCACTTAAAGCAATAGTTCGTATCTTTTGAGGTGCGGCTGTTCAAACACATTCTCACCCCCTACTCATCATATATTGACGTGCGCGGTCAGGTTCCCCCTGTGTTACATTCTTGATGCGTCGGGTAGCCCCTTCTCATCATTAATTGACGTGCGGGGTGTTTTGTAGTACAAAAATCTGTCAGAGACGATGACGTCAGCTTTTACTTCTTATTGGATTTTTATCAGGTGGGATCCGTCCTTCTTTTTTTTAATTTATGACAGAAAATCCATCCTGCTGTTAAAAAATAAACGGATATGAAAGTGCTTCACTTTCCAAACCGGAAGAGAAGATCACGGCATAACATTCAATGACAGCACCCCGCACGTCAATTAATGATGAGAAGGGGACGTGTCAAGAATGTAACGCAGAGGGAACCTGACCGCGCGCATCAATATATGACGAGTAGGGAGTGAGAATATGTTGGTTCAAACACTAGGGGCTTTGGTTGCTCAGTGGTCAGTGTTGCAGTCTTGTAATCCTTGGGTTGCAGGTTTGAGCCCAGGTTGTGGCAGAAATGGCATCCAGTGTAAAACAATTGCCAAGTCTTTTGTTGTGGTATCTGTAGTGCAGTGGTAGGGAAGATGCCTTAGGACCGGAAAGTTGCAGGATAGATTATCTGCCATTCTCATAAGTTACAGTGTCCTTGAGCAAGACACCTATTCCCTAGCTGCTAACTGGTTGTGTAAATAGCTGCCCAATGCGCCACGTGTGGCCAAACACAGATCTTTTTTTTTTGATTGCACGGTACAAACTCTGAAGCCAACACTTTGACTTTCAGAAAAGTTATGAACTTTTTTTTTTTTTACTTTTTGAGAATAGCGCCTTAATTTCTACCCAGCAGCATGCTTAGTCAAGCATTTGTGGATTAAAAAAGTAGCAGAGAATAAGTCTGAACTTGATCTGTTGAGGGAATCTGTTGTGAATTGTCAGATTACTAAAGGTTCTCCTCAAAGTTGAAGAAACACAACCTGAAAAGAAAAGGAAGATGTGGAAAGGAAGGAAAAAACTTATGGGGATTTAATTTTTTTTAGTATCTTTATAATAAATCTGGAATTGGATTTTTTAAATTTGATTACAAGTAACAACACTAGAAAAATACTTCAGATACATTAAGTTAAAGAGGGGGAAATCAGATTGAAGTAATTCTAAAGAATATAAAACTGAAAAGTAGTGTAGCCACAAGTATTTAACAAAATAAAACCCTGAGATACTTGAACTCCTCCACTTGAGGCAGTGCCTTACTCCCAACCCAGAGAGGCAATCCACCATTTTCCGACTGAAGACCATGGGACCAAATACCTTTTCCAAGTCCACAAAACACATGTAGACTGGGTAAACTCACATGCCCTCTTGAGGACACTAGTGAGAGTAAAGAATTGGTCTAATGTTCAGCGACTGGGATGGAACAGGCATTGTTCTTCCTGAATCTGAGGTTTGACCATCAATCAAACTTTCTTCTCCAGCCTCAATGAATAGACATTACCAGGGAGGTTAAGGAGTTTTATGCACATGTAATTGAAATACACACTCCTGTTCCCCTTTTTGGAGAGGGGAACCATCACACCAATCCAGTGGCATTCCTCCTGATGTCCATACAATGTTGCAAAAGAGTGTCAACCAACAACACACAGAGTCTTGAGGAGCTCAGGGCAAATTTCACCCACCCCTGGAGCCCTGCTGCCGTAGAGATTTTCAACTACATTGGCAACCTCTGCCTTGGTTATGGAAACCTCAGCCTTGGTTATGGAGGGATCAACCCCTTAGTCTCCCAATTCATCTTTCCTAGTGTAAGACGTGCTGGTGGGATTAAGAAGGCTTGAGAAGAAGTATTCCTTCCACTGCCCAACGGTTGGGGGCGTGGCTTCACTTTGACGGGGTGCTGTTCGGCCTGATGTGACATTCGCGGTGGGAGGTGCTGTGTGTATGGGGGGGGGGGGGGGGGCATGGGTGGCATGCCGGGGCCTCTCTGGGTCTGTGGTGTGGGGCTGTAGGTAAGCATTGGTGCGCTGGGCCGGCCTTCCTTGGCTGTTGTTCCCTGCTGCTCTGGCCCCCGGCCTGGGCTGGCTTGCGGTCACTGTCGGGTTGGTGGGGCACATGGACAGCCCGATGGAGGGTCCATTGGGCTGTCTCTGTGTGCCTGTTTATGTCTCAGGTTGGGTTTTGGGTGGTCCCCTCTCTTGGATGAATTTTGCCCCCCCGGTGTGTTGTACTCCCCTCCAGTGGTGGACCCCCTGCTGCCGGTGCATTGGTGGCTCTCAGCAGCTGGGGCTGGGTAGTGGGGTGTGTGCAGGCACGCCCTGGTGGCTGCCTGCCGGGGCCTGGGTGCCCTGGCTCTGCCGGGCCTCTGTTGTGGGGTGGTATGACCTCGGGACTCAGGTCTCGGTGTTGATGGCCGGATCTACTCTGGAGGGGCGGGTTGCCGGCGGGGCCTGTGGACTCATCGCTGCAGCCTCCTGGGATTTCTGAATTGTGGTGGCTGGGGATCGCCCAGGGCTTCCCTTTGCTTCTCTCTCTGGGGTGTGTGTGTGTCCCTGTTGGGGGACTCCTGGAGTTCAGGGCTTGGGGGCTGCTGTGTATCTGTGGTTCTGGTTTTCCCTGTGTTACCATCATGTCCTGTGGGGATGGGTCTGTGGGTCCCCACATCCACTATTGAACATTTTTATGGAGAAACCTTATAGTGATAAGCATGCTCACACAGGTGTTCAGATTCAGGTGTTTATCAGATATACACTCAGTTGGGTTGTGGTGGCCATCAAATATATCTTGTATTACCATGTACTGTATAAAATACTTTCTAATGATGTTACAAGTATCACTGTAGTGAACTAGGCCTCCGATCAAAACCTGCCTCTGAAGACCTTCATGGGACAGGAACTGTTATTTCATTGATTTGAATCCAGAAATACAAATTAGCTCATCCAGCGTGTTGTTCTGGTCTACAGACATACATCTTCACAGTCATCACACTCCTTTCAAACGCAGCTCGCCGTGGTACACTTGTAGTGAAGCCAGTGACGACTCTTTACTTTTGCGGAGAATGGGTCAGCTGCGGTCAAGAGGTCCCTGGCACGCTACCTTTCAGCGTCTCCTCAGGGTGGCTGCGACTCGGCAGAAGTCGTGAGATAATCCGTTCCACAGAACAAACTTCCTCAGCAGTTATAGGGCATTCGCCGGGTGGAGCCACAGCGAGGCGTCGTGGCTCCTGCAGAGATGGATGACTCCATCAGCCTGGAAAACTGAGTCCGAAGTTCCACTCAGCAGTGGAAAAACTCCAGAACTACTCCACAGTACTCCAAGAGACTCAGAAGAACTTCAGAAGAACTCTGAGGAACTCCAGCCGAACTCCATCAGAACCAGAAGAACTAACTGAACTAAGAGGGACTAAGAGGGACTAACAGTTCCAGGAAGTGTCGACTTTTAAAGAGTTCTGCTTCCGGTCACTTTTAGTAAGTCCTGATTGGTTGAAGGAACCAACAGGGGTGTGGTTTTAGTGACGTCAAAGGGTTTTTACAAGTCGAGAAAACAGCAGAAGTGTTTAGGAATAGACAGAGAAATGTTTGGGCAAAGTGAGAAAACTGCAGGTGCCAGTTCTCTTGTTTACTGTCTGAGAGCTTTAAAAACACGACAGCTTGTTCCAACAACTTGTTTCTTGACTGTCTCCGACTTTTGACCGACATCACTCCTTCTCATTTCAGACAGAAGATCAAAAAATGCATAATTACTTTGTA